ACCGGCGGTAGTTAATACAGGAACCTTTTTTTACATTTACCGAATAGGGAAAAGGCAAATAAAGTAGGAATCTTGCTCAACAGTTGGTTATATAGAAATCAACTTTATCGACTGTAGGCAAAAAAATGTGAATAAAAAAACAAAAAAAAAGATAAAAATAAATAAAAAGAATACAAATTAGATAAGAAAAATACAATTTAGATAGTTAAATATAATATTTTTTGTATAACTTTTTTCCAAGTATCAAGTCCACAACAGTATTTAGCGGGATAAAAGTCACGAGCGGGAATTATGAACGATGATAGTTAAGAGGAGAGGTTATAATTGTGATTGATGGGGGACGCGAGACGAACCAGGGTGGGAGGGGGGAGGCGAACTTCCTTTCAATCTCGAATCTAACCCTTTCGCATGTCCATCGACAACTTCATGATCGACGATTCTATTATCGCCAGACCGTAATAGAATTTTACAGAGGAATTCGTTCTATACTTTAATAAGTTTGCAAATTAATAAGAATTATAATAATAATTAATATTATTATTAAAACTAAATAGAAAATAACAAAAAAAAACAATAATAAATTTTACAATTATTAAATAAAATTATCATTACAAAAATACCGACAAATGATAAAGTAGGAAACTACTTTATCGACTGTATGTTAATTAGAAATCTACTTTACCATCAGTGGATAATTTTTAAATTACGTTTTCCTTTAAAAAAATGAAATTGGAAAATAAAATTTTTCAAATTCAAATTTATTATATGAACATTTTTTTTACTAGTTTTCTAATTTTTAATAATAAAAATCGTGAAATTTTGAAAATGGCCACTGTGCGGAAGATATAAAAAAAAAAAAACTAAAAAGCTTGTTACTTGAAAATTCGAAGTAGAGTCCTTCTGTGAAGATCCTTGAGCTTTTGCAAGCTGCTCCTCGAGACTCGGGCTTCCAAGGATAATTGCGTAGGCAGGTACATGCGTTCACAAATACAAAGCCGGCTTGGCCTATTAGTTTGACGAGAGAGGAAAGAGAAAGAGGAGAAAATGGAGGAGGAAGAGTAAAAATATCCGAGGGCTCTATATACATATATCATGCTTTCTCTCTCTTTCTCAGTTTTTATCCTTCCTACAAGCTCTTAGGGTGCCATTGCACGTATATAATGGGAAACCCTTCAACTAGCTTCAGTGCAGGGTGCAATGTCACTCTTGCCCCCCCTACCCCCACGCAACCCCTCCTCCTATGAATTTATTGTGTATTTCTCTTTTGACTCTCTCACAATTCTTTTTTTTTTATCTTTTGTTCCCCAAAAAACATTTTTTTTCATCGTTTCATCTCCATTTATTTATCACTCACTTTTTTTTCTTATCTTTTCAAACTTTACATCTTGATTTATTTTCCATTTTTCTTTTTTTTCTTTAGTTCTCTTAGTTTTTTTTTAGTTTCTCTTTGTTATTAATAGGTTCAGTAGTTATTACTGTAGATAAAGTAGAAATTTTCATTACCGACTGTCAGATAAAAAGAAAACTAGATTATCGATTGTTTGTAAAACAGTGTTTTTTCTTGTTAACAGTAGATAATAAAGAGATTATTAACATTATGAAGCAGAAAGTTCTTGTTAGCCGACTGATGTCAAAGTAGATATCTTCCTTGCCATTAGTCGGTAAAGTAGATTTCCTTTTTGCCAGTAGTCGGTATAGTAAAGGATGCATATAAGCAAAGACTTGATATTAAAATGTAGAGATCTCCCTAATCGACTGTTGATAAAGAAGATTTCTTTCGTGCCATTAGTCGGCAAAGTAGATTTCTTTTTCTTTTGCCAATAGTCGGTATAGTAAAGGATGCATATTAATAAAGATTTATTACCGACAGTAGTTGGTAAAGAAGAAAATTTTTTTCAATGTACAAAAAATGATTTTTTTTTTGAAAAAATTGTTTTTTAATTATTAAAACTTGTCTACTTTTGATCTTTTTCTCTCTTTCTCTCTCCCTTACTCTTATAATTCCCTTTCGGTCATTTGCTTCAGTTCTTACGCATATACGGGTGGTTGTACGTGCCTAGAAATCCACCCCTTTTTCTTTTTTTACCCTCCAGCAGCAGGTGGGGGGGGGGTGGGATCGCTTGAGTGAATACGACACGTACGTACAAGTGCACGTTCTATATACGAGGAGAAGAGGGGTGCGGAGTTTTTTTGCAAACGAGAATTTACAGAACTTTACTTTATACGCGCGTATATGCCTACTCACAAGAACAAAACATGCACTGAGGGAAAAAAGAGATATAGTGGGGTGGGAGGAAAAAAAAAAGTTAAAATAGACTTAAAAGATATAGGAGAGCGCAAAAAAAAACAGAAGAAGAAAAGAAAAAGAATTGTGAGTCCTGTAAAAGAAAGAGACAAATTGATGATGGAATGAGAAAAGTTGGGGAGAAAAAGAGAAATTACATATATAGGTATACAGGGTAAAGAAATTGAAAAGAGAAAAAAAATTGAAATCCAATAGAGGAAAGAAATTTTTGACGAGGATGAAAGAAAATTTTCAAATAGGGTAATTTGTTAACAAAAATTTAATTTTTGCTTCTTTCACTTACTGCGTAACGTTGGTTAATTTTTGAAAATTCAAAATGCCGGATCCAATATGTTAGATAAAAATCCGCAAAAATTGAAATAATCCTATAAAAAATTAGAAGAGCGATTTTTTAGGGTCACTGATTACAAATCTGATATTGGATTTTCCAAACTCAAAATGTCTCGGCTCTTTGCCATTAGTCGGTGATTTATTATAGACTCACTGATTACAAAGTTGTTAAATTATTATTATTATGAAAAAATTGTTGTTTTCTTCCTTGAAAAATAAAGAAATCAGATAAAACACAAAGTTAGAAAAAGATAAGAAAAAAAAAAGTATATTTTCCTTTATATTTTTGTGATAAATTTATTTTTTGTTGAAAAAAAAGTGTTTTTATCTAAAAATGTGTATCTCTTTTTTTTTTTTGTCTAAGTCAATCTTATGTAACTTTAGGAGAAGAATTCGATCGGTTTTTGTTGCACGCGTGTAAGGCTCGTTGCACACTATCCGATTTGTGTCGGACGGCAAAAAATCGGACGACAAAAAATTTTCAGTGGACTGAAGAAGTAAATAGGGCTTTGCACACTTTCCGATTTAAAATCTGACCGACAAAATGTCGTTGTGCTGCCGGAAGAATCGACTACAACGTCCGACTGTCGGATGATGTCGTCAAAGCAGTCTCTTATGAAAAGCAATAGATGCTTGCACACTATCCGACAATTTTTCGTCCGATGTTTATATAATCAGGTAGTTTTTCCAATTCTACGTGACTCTATTAGAAAAATTTGAAGTTTCTTATTTGTTTATAACAATTTGTGTAAACAAAGTAATTTTTTAAACAATATATAATTTAAATTTTTTTTTCTAAACCATAGGGGTAAAATACTCTCTGATACTGAACAGCTTTCAGAAAAGATATGTTTGTTAACTCCATAATTAAAATATCATTAGGCTCATAGATTCAGGTAGTTTCCGATTTTTACGACGTAGCAGACAAGCTGTGACAACTATATTTTTAATATTCATTTTTTAAAAGCAAATATCAAATTATAATAATACTTTGCTGCACACAGTACTCTGGCTAACGTGCGACTGAAATCATACCTTAAAGAATTCCTTCGCATACCTGAAGTTTTCGTAGGATGATCAAATGTCGTACGACAAAAATCGGACAGTGTGTAAAGCTCGTTCGTCCGACAAAAAATCGTCCGACTTTTTGTCGTCCGACACAAATCGGATAGTGTGCAACGTGCCTAACGGAGGTGCGTGAGGAGTGAGAGAGAGAAAGAGAGGGTAGGATGAGTGGGTGGTGGGGAGGCGAAGGATTTTAAGGGTGGAAAAAAGGTGATCGGCGCGTGAAGAGACGAGAATAGGGTTGCGTTTGCTTCGATGCGTAAAAGTGCGTGATACTCGCACGTGCCTGACCTCTTGCATCAAGACATCCACTCCCTCATCCCCCCTCCCTGTTTTATCCCCCTACATCCACTCTTCCTCTATATAGCCCATTTTCTTTCCGTCAGTACAGAATTTTTTACTATCCCCCACCTTTTCTTCTCTCTCTCTCTCTCTCTCTCTCTCTCTCTCTCTCTCTCCCAATTTCTCTCGCCACCCCTTTTTTTAATACCCACCTTTTTCTGCGTCATTTTTTTTTCATTCCCCTCATCATGCTTGCAAAATTGAGATCCTTTATTATTTCATGCTTGAGAACATTTTTCCGCGTTCCAATGAAATTCCAAAAATGATGATATAACAAAATTCGTGAATCGAGGAAAAAAATATTGTGAGTCAATTCAATTTTAAGGGGGGGGGAGGAGGAAGGTGATAAATTGTTTTGTTTTTTTTCACAATTTAACGAAATAATTAGTTTAATTTTTATTTATAAATTTTTAATGTAATATTTAAATTATTAATTTATTTTTTGTTACTTACTATATTAATGCAATTTTTTATTGCATTATAGTTTTTAATAATAATTCATTTTTAAAAATAATTTTCACTTTAATTCATTTATAAAATTTTTCAAAATGATATAGAAAAATTATTTTAAAGTAATCATTTATAAAAAATATATTTAAAAAAAAGATTTAGAAACATTATTTTAAAATAAGATTTAGAAAAATTATTTTAAAGAAATCATTTTTAAAAAATTGTTTAAAAAAATTATTTAGAAAAATTATTTTGTAAAAAAAAATAGTTTAATATTAAATTAACACTAAAAATATAATAATATGAATGTAATACTCAAAATTTAGCAATTGAATTTAATATGAAAATTCAAACGAGTACATAGTGACATCTACCTTTTATGTGAAGAACTTTTTTCCTTACAGTTACCTGATAAGGAAGGAATTTAGGTAGAAAAGAAAATATTTTTTTTCAATTCAAAAAAAATCTACAAATTTATTTTTTTTATATATATTACATAAATCTAGCTTAGAAATTACAATTTCTTAAATTATTCTATTTCTTAGTCAGCCTATCACAGCTTTTTCTTTACTTATTCTATAAAAATAAAAAAAATTCCTGTAGGTAAAGTTTAAAATCAACAATTTTTGAAAAAAAAAAAAAAAATTGGCACGGTGTAAAAAATTTATGATTTTAAAATTTCTTATAATAATAAAATTGAAAACATGACATAAACAGCCCTGTAAAAAATAATTATTCAAAATTCCGCCATAATTTGACACATGCAACCATGTGGAAACCAAAAAATATCCGTATATAAACGATCACCGCTTCCCTCGAGTGCAACGAGTCTTTTTTGCACATATTGTTGCGTACATCTGCTCGTGTAACCAATTGGAAGTGTACATAATTCGTTACACATTTCGGTTCTGAAACAATTTCATTTTCTACTTTTTTTTTTTAATGTAAAGTTTTTTTTTCCTTCTTCGAAATAAGCGCTCGAATAGTTAACAAAAGTGAGCGTGCGCAGTAGATCTATTTTCTTTGTGGTTATACTCAAATAAAGATTTACCGCGCATGCTCACAAGTTTGGCGCCAAATTTAAATTTGCCACTAAACTAATTGAACTAAAAACTTTGATAATAAACAGATAATACAAAAATTAAAGTAATAATTGACAGCAATAATGGAAAATAATTTTAAAAAAATGGAAAATTAAATAAATATATATTTTTTTTGAAATTTTTTTTCAACTTACTCGCAGACTTCACTTCTGATAATTTGTGAATGTTTTTTTGTTATTTCCTCAGTATTAACAATGTACATCCAATTTCCCTGATTATTAAGCGCTGCACGTGGATAAACAAATTTTGTCATTGTTGGACAAATTGAAATTGCATTACTATTTTGTCGTTTTGTGCGTTCTCCTCTTTTTTTACTATTGACAAATTCTAATAGTGGATTTTTACGATTTGTTCGTAATGATAAACCCACGTCATTTTCACGTGTAAATCTATAAAAAAAAAAGAAATTATATTTTTCTTAGAGAATAAAAAAAAAAAATATAAATTTTTCTTTGCAAAATTAAAAATTACCTATTTATCCAAAAACTTTGACTTAAATTTTGTGGATCAAGAGGCTGATAATATTTATTCGGTGAGACATCAGATTTTTGGCGAAATTGTTGTTGATTTTGATGATGATGATAATTTCCAATAATTGAAGATGAGGGGAGTATAAAAGGACTTCTATTTGTTTGATAAGTTGAATTAAATGGTGTTCCATAAACCAATTCTGGTTGACGAAATTGATGGTTCGTTAGTAATGGCAAATTTTGTGAAAAACTTTGAGGCGCCTTTGGTTTATTGTATTCGTATCCTTGATTATAATTTGGAACTTGCCTTTAAAATTAGAAATTACAAATTATTATTAAAATATAAATTTAAAAAAATAAACAAATTATTAAAAATTAAAATTTAAAAAATTCAAAAGAAACAAAAAATCAAAAGTAGGGGAAGTACAGAAGAAAATAAAAAATTGGGAGAAAAAATAGATTATAAAAGAATGACTATAATTAATTAATATATGTAAATGGAATATTAATTAATATTATTATACAAACCTATTGGAGTTGAAATCATCAGGTGATTCATTCTTAAGAATGGTTTTGAAATCAAATGTACATTTTTCGACGAGAAAATTTATAAGTTGCCTGTTGGAAAATAAAAAAAAAAATTTTTAATTAATTAAAAAAATTAAAAAAAAAAAAATGGCGAATTTAGAAAGCGAATATATATTTTTTTATTATGTAATATATTATATATATATAGTCAATAATGAAAGTAGTGTGTTGTTATTATAAGAGATCAAACATGGTCACGACAATAATTATTATACAGACACTTTAACCGAAACCTATTATCTTCATTTCATCACCACGTGTCAATTGAAATTTTTTTTTTTATTTTTTTAACACATATATTATTAAATAGAAACATTATTCAATTTACATAATTTTCATTCTTAATAGGAAAAAGAAAAGAAATCACAATAAATAAATAGATAGATAAAAATAATAAGAAATTTAAATTTATTAAATTTAATAGAAAAAGAAAAAAAAATTTTCATAAAACGCACGACAATCGACTGTCGTCGAACTGAAACCATAAAGTATAAAAAAGGTACGCAATAAAGTAGAAAAAAAAAGTGTTGCCAAGATTTGAAAATTGGTGCCGGTCCTAAAAAAACTTTCACCAACGTGGTGCGCGTTTATTATAGGAATACGTGAGCTAGAAAATGTTCGAATATGTTTAATTCATATGGCCCACACAAATCTCTTTTTATATACAATTTCTTTCTTCGTATTTCAGTATATGTTTACTTTTTTTTTTTTTTTACTTGAGAAAATATTCTCGCAACAACAAAAAATTCTGTCAATTAGAAAAAAAAAATTAAAATTTTCTAAAAATTAAAAAAAAACATTTTAATTAGAAAATGTTTACAAATTACTTTAAAATTTGCTTCATAAAGAGATATACCATTTTTTGGGGGTGAATCTATTCGAGACAATTTTTTTGTTAGGAAAACAATTTTTTTGACACAAAAAAGTTTTTATTTATTTTTTTTTTTTTTTTAGCTTTGACCTGAATCAAAAATTATGACCTTCAGGGGAAGCAAAATTCCAAGGTCTCTAACGGAGCAAATTTATAATTATTTGCAAACTTGGGGCATGACCGACTGAAGGCCATGGTCATGGCACATGTTCAAAGGTCGTTTTTCTAGTTTTTTATGTAACGGTTATCCAGTTCTTTTTAATCGATTGATTGATCGCGTATGTAAAGGACTACTGAATACACACAAGAGAAAAAAAAGAAATCCCAAAAAAAAAAAAAAAACCAATAAATCATTTCCTTTTTATCTTTTACATATAGTAGATTGAATAAAAAAAAACCATTGAGAGATGGAATTTTTTGAAAAAAGAGCGGATAAAAATTAAAAAAATTTTTTTTTTTGAGTTAGTCAAATTTTTGACAATATTAATCACTTTTTACTGCATTTATCTTTTTTAGGCTATATATAAAAAAAGAATACAAATGATTATTCAATTATATAGTCAAAAATTTTGACTATTTTTTTTTTAATTTTACTACTACTAATAGCGTTAGTAAAAAATATTACTACCGTATAGTACAAATTTGACTATATTTTTTACTAGTGCAATGAAAGCAGTGTCAAATTTTTAAAAATAGTCAAATGTGACTACTTTCTTTATATAGTAAAAAGCGAGGTAAAAAATTTAATTATACTTTTATTGCACAGTAATAACAAAATATTGGTAGTAAAATTTGACTACTATCATCACAGTATAGTAAAAAATGCACGGAAAAAAAGAAAAAGTAATTTTTACTACTTTCATAGTAAAATGGGATCTGTCCGAAGTTTCTGCGCATCTATGGCAACTTTTACTCCAAAAATAGTAAAATTTGCTCCAGAAATAGTAAAATTTACTCCAGAAATAGTAAAAATTATTACAAAAATAGTAAATTTTACTATTTTTTGAGTAAAAGTTGCCAGAGATGCGCAGAAACTTCGGACAGGTCCAATTTTAATATGAAAGTAGTAAAAATTACTTTTTCTTTTTTTCCGTGTACTATTGCGTTAGTACATCTTTGACTATGTATCAATCATAATTGTAGTACAAAATTTGACTATTTTTATTATATAGCAAAAATTTTGATTATTTTCCTTCTTTGTAAAAATTTAATTTCTAAATTATACAGAAAACAATAAAATTATTCTAAAAATATAATACAGTAGATCCAACAAAAAAGTGAATTAAAAAAAATTTTTTTTGTCAATTTCCATAATATGTCTTGCAATAAATTTATATTACTTGCACTGTACTGAAATCTTGATAAGAAACTATTCGATGCAAACTTCCTGATTCACTACATATATATATATATATATATATATATATATATATATATATATATATATATACTATATGGTTTTGAATTCTATTCTACTATACATATATACATATATATATAAACCATTGCATCTCGTATAAATGTAACCAGTTTGAGAGAGATCAGATCGAAATCATTTCTCGTAAAGCTGAGAAAAAAAAGTTAAACCATCTTTCAAAAGAGGGTATTGAGGGGTAAAGAGGGGGGAGGGGGTAAATATAAATAATCCTTTATAATAATCTTCCATATATAAAAGAGACTCGCGAGGTTATCTTGATAAAAGACATATATACACAATGTTGCATTACACGAACCTGTCAAGAATAATGCAGAACAAAAGAAAAGAGAGAAGGGAGGGGGGGGGGGCAGAAAAAAGAAGTCTTGTGTTGAAAGATACGAATTTGATTAAAAATTTATATCTGATTTTGTAAGTCCCCCAATTTTTACTATTTGAAATATATTTCTAAAAATAAAAAAAAAAATAGGATAAATTTTGAATTTTTTTTTTTTTTTTTACTGTGGATAGTGGTCCAAAACTTCGCAAAATGTTTGACCCGGTTGTGCGCAATGTGGAGTATTTCCTGGGGCAGCGGGAAGAAATGGTTCATAAATTGGTGGTCCCAAGGGACAACCATAATCTGAACATCCTTCACATTCAATATTTAGCACCATCACCTGTAAAAAAGAAATTTTTTTTTTTGACAATTTAAAAGGCTTTTTGTAAATTCATTAAGTAGAAAGTACTCTTTGAAATTAAATAATAAAATGCAAAAAAAAATTACGTTCCTTTATTTAATTTATTTTCCATTTGAATTTTTTTTTACTAAGCTATGTTTAATTGAAAAGAAATTAAATAATCATTTTAATTTTTTTACTATTTCTCTCTCTTTTTTCTATAAAAAAAATTTAATGCCCAGAATGACATACAGGTTAGACTATTAAGAGACTGCCCATTGAATAAGCCATCATCATTTATTCTAGTGGGATTAAAGGTACTTTCACGACGTGCTGTCAATTTTAAATCTTCATGATTTTACGATTAAATCAGTCTTAGATTTAACAAAGTCAAATAAGAGAAATCATCATGAATTAATATATGTCCTTATTTCGGAGGGGGATTATTTTTCATTAAAAATTTTTATTATAAAAAAATTAGAATCAAAAAAATTTGTATTAATTTTTTTTTAACTTATCAAAAATTTTTCTTGTCTATCGAATTTTTTTTCAATTTTTTAAAATTGTTTATATTTTTTTATTTTTATTACATTTTATAATTATATAAATATTAAAATTAGTTAAGTGGATGTTAATTATAATGTTGCCATTATTAGTATTATTATTTTGATTATTAAAAATGTTTTAATAAAAACTCACCGTTAATATAAAACTAGTAAATGGAACAAACATCTTAGAAATCGCATTCAGGCTTCTGAGTCTGTCAGCATAAAAAAATAGAAAAAAAAAAATGCTAAACAATCACTGTTAATTATAAAATGTCCCACGCTCCCAAGGAGAGTTAGGTTCAAATTCTCCGGTAAGAAATTAAACATCCACTTATAGAGGTCTTTAACTTACTATATCGCGCATAAAAAAAATTGTTATAAAAACTAATTTTCTATTTAAAATACAATAATAAAAAAAAAATTATTTTCTTTTTAAACGTAATTGAATTTTAAAAATATTTTTAAAAATTGATATACTATTTTTGATTCACGCACGTGTTTTATATTGTATCGAAATTTTTTTTTTAAGGCAAACTTTTTGGCAGACGTTGCCAGATCCCGGGTCCGAAACGATTTGCAACAAGACGACTTGTGGTTGGACAAATCAAGTGCACAAGTTCCAATCTAATATGTATTCTGGGTGGGGTGTTGAATTTAAGATATATAGACACTTTCACTATGGGCATCACGCAAACTGGGAATATGTGACCCATCATTGATGATGATGATTCGATCAAGAAATTCTCCACTTCCGGGGCTTTTCCTCTCGGAAGTTAATTTAAATAATTTATTTTATATTTTATTTCATGCTTATTAATAATTTTATTTTTTTGAAATTTTTCTCTATTATTTATTGTACAATATTAAAGAATATATTGGAAAAAAAATATTTATTATTTATTTATAGAAAATTATAATTTATTAATTAGACAAAATTATTTATTTAATAATAATAATTTTAATAATAACTGTGAAAGGCCTCGAAAAATTATTATTAAATTTCATAACACAGTTGGAAATATTTAACAAAATTATTTATTATTTATAAAATATTATTTATAATTTACGCCCTATTAATAATTTAATATTATTAAAACAATTATTATTATCATTTAATTGATTGTAATTTTATCAACTTTACTCTCTACAATGTTAATAAAAAACAAACAATGAAATTTGTAAATAATTTCAGTAATTATAGTTTTAATTAAATATATACAAAATATCATAAGAATTGTTTTAAAATTCTTTCACAAAATTACGATTTATCTTCATAAGAATCACTACCCTATCAATACTTATCTTACTAATAAAATAACTTCGCACTGAATCCTCCTCGAGAAGAAAAAAGAGACATTTTTTTGTCTTAAAAAAAAACAATGAAAATTCCACGATTTTTAACATTGAAGTTAACCTGAAAAAAAAACTTTTTACAATAAAATAATATATAGCAGACGAAATTGCGCGCGAGAATTATGATAGTATTTTCGAAAAACAACGCAAGGCGGCGCTTTGAAATTAAAGAAAAATGTCCGCCTGCCGCTGTCAGCAGGAAAGTGAGTCGTGGACGACGGAGAGTGACTCAAGATAAATGCGTACCATAACTTTAAGTGATCACGTTCCGGGGGGGCAAATAAAAGCATGAATTTTCCTTTGGGACGAGAGCGGTATACGAGATTATTGTAATATTAGAGGAAAAAAAAAAAATAAATTCAGGAACAACGTTTTGTTTCGCGAGAAATTTTTTCTCTTTTTTTTTTACTTATATAGTAATACACACACACTGTAGCTAAATAAATAACCCTTGGTGTGAGTATTCCCCCCCTCTCCTAAATATCACTTTTTTAATGATAGTTTTTCGTGTGTAGAAAATAAAAAAATATATATAAATTGAAAGAAAACAAATTTATATATATATATATATATATATATAAAGTATATATAGTCATGGCGACCGATTCGCTATCGTCACGGGTCGATGATTTAGTGTACAGTGTCACTCTACATAATCCATTGAGAAATATTTTTAAAGGTTGCATTTTACCATTTGTCACACTTTATTTAATTTGGATTTATTGTTGGTTATTCGTTTATGGCGTTGAGGAATATTATGATGCTGGTTTAATTGGCATTGCCGTTATTGGGGTTTTACAAATTTTTGTCTGCCTCTGTTGCCAATGGTCAGTTCACATCAATTGCTTTCTCAATTGTGTCAAGGTAATTTTTTCCTTTTTCCTTGTTCTATTATATTTTTTTTTTTTTTTTTGTTGGTTAAATAGTCCTTGGTATATGTATATATAATTTATGTGTTTTTTTTTAAACAATATGTTCTATATACATATATACGAATATGAAAAACGTGGCACAGGGAAAAAGCTTCTGCTAGCGGTTAACGGTCACGTGAAATAGCGGGAAATTTAAATTAAATTTCTTTCTTTCTTTCGTATTAAAAATATTCTAAAACAATTTTTCATTATTTTTGAGAAAAAATTAATTATTCCAATTTTAAAATTATTTCTTCTTTTCTAGGGAAGAAATCCACATGAGGCATCGTATGCAAAAGTTGTGCCAACACCAAATAATGGAAGTTCGGAACTTGTTAAATTATATCAAAGTAAAGATCAGGAACCATGGTTTATTTTTCAAAAAACCAAATATATTTGGGATTCGAATAAAAAACAATTCCAGGGTTTACAATTTCCGGTCAATCATTCAATTACACACTATTCGGAATGGAAGGGTTATCCAAGTGAACAGGAAGTCGCTGAGGCTGAAGAAAAATATGGCAAAAATAAGTAAGAAAAAGATTCTAGAATTTAAAAAAAAAAAATACTTTTGCAAATTCATTGAAAGGGGAAATTTTAATTTTTTTTGCAGATTAGATATGGAAGTACCGGAATTTTGGGAATTATTCCGTGAACGTGCAATAGCGCCATTTTTTGTATTTCAAGTATTTTGCGTTGCACTTTGGTGTCTCGATAGATATTGGTATTACAGTATATTCACATTAATTATGCTCATTATGTTTGAATGCACACTTGTTCAACAACAATTGAGAAATATGGCGGAAATTCGTAAAATGGGGAATAAACCCTATATGATAATGGTCTATCGTAATAGAAGATGGCGTCATATTTTCACTGATCAATTGGTACCAGGCGATGTTGTTTCAATAACACGTTCACAAAATGATAATCTTGTACCGTGTGATATGCTTCTTCTAAAGGGTCCCTGCATTGTTGATGAGAGTATGTTAACCGGTGAATCAGTACCACAAATGAAGGAGCCAATTGATGATATTCAGGAGAAACGTTTTCTTGACATTGAGGGTGATGATAAATTGCATATTTTATTTGGTGGCACAAAAGTTGTTCAACATTCACCGCCTAGTAAAAATTCATCCGGTCTTCGAGGTTTGTATTCGATTTTTCTCTTATTTAATGAATAAACATATTTTTACCTACTTTTTATTGGGTTTTAAGCCACTGACAATGGTTGCATTGCCTATGTGTTACGCACTGGATTTTCAACATCGCAGGGAAAATTATTGAGAACAATTTTATTTGGCGTAAAACGTGTCACGGCAAATAATCTCGAGACATTTGGATTTATTCTATTTTTACTGATTTTTGCAATTGCCGCTGCAGCATACGTTTGGATCAAGGGTATATAGTTTTTTAAATTAATGACTAGGTATTAAATTAATTTTCCTTACTTTTCAGGAAGTGAGGATCCAAATAGAAATAAGTACAAATTATTTTTGGAGTGTACGCTAATTTTAACGTCAGTTGTACCTCCGGAATTGCCAATTGAATTATCGTTGGCTGTGAATACGTCACTATTAGCATTATCAAAATTAGGTGTATTTTGTACCGAACCATTTAGAATTCCATTTGCAGGAAAAGTGGAAATTTGTTGCTTTGACAAAACGGGAACACTAACGAGTGATAATTTAGTTGTTGATGGCATTGCCGGAGTCGAGTGAGTTAGAAACTGTGAATAAAATTAAAGAACATTTTTCATTAAACATTTCTTCATTTGCAGTGGAAAGGCGGAAGTAACGGAAATAGCAGACGCTCCAATTGAGAGTATTCAAGTGCTAGCAACGTGCCATTCTCTAGTTCAATTAGACGATGGAATAGTTGGTGATCCCGTCGAGAAGGCAACACTAAAAGCCGTCAATTGGAATCTGACAAAAGGTAATAATGTTTTTAAAAGACAATTAATTGTGAACTAATCATTTTTTCGAATAATAGGCGATGCAGTAATTCCAAAACGTGGCAAATCGGCAGTTTTAAAAATAATTCAACGTTTCCACTTTTCTTCGGTGTTAAAACGAATGAGCGTTGTTGCTGGTTACACTAATGTTGGATCGTCTGATGTTCAATTTATCGTCACAGTGAAGGGAGCACCGGAAACATTAAAACCAATGTTTAGTTCGATACCAGATAATTATGATGAAGTTTATTTATCATTGTCACGTCGTGGTGCTCGTGTTTTAGCTCTTGGACATAGAAAATTACCGAGTGCATTGTCACATCAGGATTTAAGAAAATTGACTCGTGAAGATTTTGAAGTAAATTTGGATTTTGTTGGATTTGTCATTATTACTTGTCCATTAAAACCAGATTCAAAGTCTGTAATAAAAGAGATACAAAATGCATCGCATTCGGTTGTTATGATCACTGGTGATAATCCACTAACTGCTTGTCATGTGAGTCGGGAATTACATTTCACGAGGAAGGGAACTATTTTGATTTTAACGGAAGTTCAAGGTTCATGGCTATGGCAAAGTGTTGAAGGTGATATCGAAGTCGATTTACATCCAAAGAAGGGAAGTTTCAAGGGAAAGAAAATTTGGGAGGTTTATGCTCTTTGTGTAACAGGCGAGGTATGTATTATAAAAATGAAACTAATTTTGATTTACTTTAATTATATTCTTCGTAGGGTTTAAATTATCTGAAATTGAACGAGAAGGCACTGCTTAAAAAATTACTACCACACGTTGTTGTTTTTGCACGTTGTGCTCCTAAACAGAAGGAATTTATTGTTACTTCATTGCAAGATATGGGATACACGACTCTAATGTGTGGAGATGGAACAAACGATGTTGGAGCGCTAAAACACGCCCAAGTTGGTAAGTAGTCTTTCGATATTTTCTTCTTTTCAATATTAACAAATATTTTTCATTTTAGGTGTGGCAATTTTATCTAGTCCTCCCGAGAGTGCGTCCTCGGAAAAACGCAATAGTACGCCATCGACGCCAATTGCAAATTCACCACAAAATAGTCAATTAAATACTGTTGGTCAACAGTCGAATGTTAGAAGTAATTTGCAGAGATCATTAATGAAAGAACTTGAGGAACAGGATCAGGCTGTAATTGTAAAATTGGGAGACGCATCGATTGCAGCACCATTTACCAGTAAATGGTCATCGATTCAGTCGAGTATGTTTTCATTTTTTATAAATTAAATATTTTTTTCTCTCTGTTTTAGATGAATGGTTGGGGATACTTTTTCAACACTGCTCTTAAAGAGTGCCCGCATTTGTCTCTATTAATCATTATCTCGTGCTTCTTAAAACCAACAAATAAAAAACTGCTGACAATTATCATTTTAAATTCATAACGAAAGCCTCGAGCTTCTTAAAACCAACAAAATAAAAAAAAATTCTACTTTTAACGAAAACATAGACATAGAGAAACGGCGATGATTTGGCAAATCTCATTAAACTTTAGTTGACAGCAAAAGCCTCGAGCTTCTTAAAAATTTGAATAAAAAACAGTTTTTATATTATAAACAATTCGCAACCAAAATTAGTTCGTGGATTCAATCCGTAGAACGCAATGTGCGTTCGAAATGTCGATGTTCATGTATCATATAATTCACTATATGACACGCAAATATCTACGATGAATAATTTCTTTCAAAAATTCATTTAAGTTTCTAAATACAGTGAAACCCACGTATAGCGGATCCGCATAATTCGGATTCCCGCTTACATCGGATTTTTTTTCGGTCCCTTGAAATATACGTTGGTTTCACTGTACAAGTTTTTAAAAAATTCGTCTTAGTAAATAACTTTTTTAGAACTTCTTTTTAGAAAACATCTTTTTTCATTTTAAATTTCTCTTTTTTGCAGTTTGCCACATAATCAAACAAGGTCGTTGCACATTAGTGACGACATTGCAAATGTTTAAAATTCTTGCATTGAATGCCTTAATATTGGCCTACAGTCAATCAGTTTTATATCTGGATGGCATTAAATTTAGTGACAAACAAGCGACATTGCAGGGTATTTTACTTGCCGCATGTTTTCTCTTTATATCACGCTCAAAACCATTAAAAACTTTATCAAAACAACGACCACTGCCAAATATTTTTAATTTCTATACCGTTCTAACGGTCCTTCTACAATTTGCTGTACACTTTTGTTGTCTCATCTTCCTTGTACGTGAGGCTGCAATTATCTCTCCAAAGTGAGTAGAGAAAAATTTAACTACTTATGGTACCATTTTTTTTTAAGTACGGAATAGCGTTAAATCCCTAACAATAGCTCTGGATTCAAACAATAAAATAAAATGAGAATTTTTCTAATTTAGGAATGATACATTGTCGGCAATACTTGCACCTAAAAATGTCACTGAAACATCGTCAACAGACGATTATTACGATGAGGAGGAGCCATTTGAGGCGAATATTATTAATAGTACTGTGTATATAATTTCAATGGCACTTCAAGTTGCGACTTTTGCCATTAATTATAGGGTGAGTAAATTTTTTTTCGGTGGAAATCATTTAGTAATTAAAAAAAAGACACAAATTATTTTTCATTCAATTTAGGGTCAACCATTTATGGAAAGTCTTATGGAAAATAAATCTCTTCTCTATTCACTTGTTGGATGTTCTATTGCAATTTTGGCTCTTGCTTCCGGATTAATACCGGACACTGCCCGCGAGTTTGAAATTGTCGATTTTCCAAGTGATGTGAGTTGAAAAAATTGAAAAAATTTTATTTTTCTAAAAGAAATTTTTGAATTGAATTTTTTCTTCTTTTTTCTAGTTCCGGAAAACATTGATAACAACATTAGTTGCCAATTTTCTTTTGGTCTATATGGTTGATCGAGTTTGCCGCTGGTTATTTGGCGAAGGAAAACACGAAAAACTGTGATTAAAGTAATTTGTTTTTGCTTAATAGCAATATTATTAGAGGAAAAAAAATTTTCCCTGCGCAAAAAAATTGTATAAAAATTTTTGCATGGGCAACGAAAAAAAATACAAAAAGCACATTTACATATTTTTCGCATACATCGATATCATAATTTTGTACTTTACATTTTTTTCACTTATTTAAAACTCGAGATAATTAATAGTAATAATAATTTATCGAAGGGGTAAAAATATATATAATTTTGAAATCACTTTTTTCTTTACAAAATAAAAAAATTTATTCTCATGGGAGAAAGAAAGGAATTTTTACCTTAAAAAATAAAAATTTTCTCCTTTAAAAATAAAGAAAATAAAAAAACATTTCATTTTTACGCAGCTTAAAAAAACATTTTTGAAACTTAGATCTCAATTAATATCATCATCGTAAATATTGTAAATAATTCTGAAAAATAAGAATTTTTTTTTACATTCCGTATATAGTGAATCTTTTCTCTTGTTTCGAATTGTAGTAAAATTTTATTTTTCTTTTATATATATATATATATATATATATATATATATATATATATAAATATCTGTACATGTTTTTGATTGTATGTACCAAGTTTTTTAAATTGTTGAAAAAAAAAAAAAAATATTGAAATGGAAACACGAGCGACGACAATGAATTTTTCTGTAAGACAAATGATAAAAGAAGAAGAAAAAAAAGAAACAAAGTATGTTTGAAAAATACTTTTAGCAAACATAATAATAATTATTCTGTAAGATAAGCGTGACTGATAGTTTGCGTTGTGAAATAAAAAAAAAATTTTTTTAATAAATTTATGAATAGATTGTATTTGTAAAGTTAAATTGTGTATATATACATATATATCAACTTGCAATAATTTCTCTGTTTAAATAAACATCATTCCTTGATGTGGATGTTTTATCAAAAAAAAAAGAAGTTTATTATTCCTTTTTTTGTTTATGCATTTATTTTCAGGTTTTCGTCCTTAGGGACTAAACTAGCTATTTTTGGCCCTAGGGAACAAAATAACTTTTGATTTTAAGTAGTTTTTTTTTAGCAGTTATTATTTTTTAATTAAAGTGTTTTTTAAATGAAAGAAAAATGATTTTCCTTGTCTTGTTTTTATGTAATTATATGTTAATTTTTAACACTTTGGTCATAAAGGAATATATTTAAATTATCTCTATTTTTCATGATTCACATCTGGAAATATTATAAAATCAGAAAAAAATTTTAATTCCAAGAAATTTTGAGTTAACTGCAAAAAATAAAATTTTAATTGTTACCACATAATGTGACCTTGTCTTTAATTCGTCATATGATAATGCAACTTTTAATTATAATCTCTTTCAAGTGCATTATAGTTTTGTAATATTTGTATTCTTAAATAGAAAAAAAAAAATTACAGTACTCATGTGCTAATTTTTTCTTTTTTATTTCGATTATGGAAATTTTTTTAAATTTTAATTTATTTTTGTAATTTTTATTATTATAATATATAATTTTATTTTTTCAAAAAAATTTTAGTTATTTTTTTATCTTTTTATTTAAATGAAAAAAAAATATTCGCGATTAGCAAATGGAAATGTTTCGCGAGCGCGACATTTATCAATGAGAACAAATTGCAATGAATTCCATTGTGGGAAAAAAAATTCAAAAGAAGGTGAAAAAAAAAAATGTATTTTTTTTCTGATTGTAAATTGTGAGTAGGACAAATGAGGCGCGTCGATCGAGCAGCGATCAGCGAACCGGTTACCAGTCGTGGCTCGTCATCTGTCTCGTGGTCATTACATTTTTCAAAGTATCTTGTATATATACACACACTAAAAATGAAAAACAGATGAACACATTTTTTTCATCTCCCATTTACAAAGTGTTAAAAATAAAAAAAATTATTAAAATTTTCAATAAAGTGCCATTTATTTTTGAAAAAAAAATACATTTTCTAATTTTTTTTCTATAATTAAAAGTGCTTTATGGAAAATTTTAGTTTTACTGTCAAGTCACTCGGAATAAAGTCCAATTTAAAAAATATTTTTAAAAAAACTTTCACTTAATTTTAATTTATAGTAAAAAATTTTTTTCGCTGTTTTTTATATTTCTAAGAGGTAAAAAATAATTTAAAATTTAAAAAAATTGTTTATAAAAATTAAATTATTAATTAAAATTAGTGTAATAGTTAATTAAAGTAGTAAATATTTATTATTATTATTATTGTTATTATTATTTAAAGTAAATTATTCATTACAAAACAAAAATATGAATGAGAAAATAATTTCTATTTAGAAAGTAAAAGTAAAAAAAAAATATAAATAGAAGAGAAAATTTTATATACGAAACACACGTGGTTTTATTTATTGAAAAGTGATAAGATTTTTTTTTCATTTCTAAAAGTTGTAAACTTGTGAAATGTGACAATATATGTAAAAAAAATTTAAGTGATAAAGTTTATCTTTTCGTTTGGTGTGTGGAAGTCTACGTTTAAACTAAATTTACAGAAGATCTATTTATATATAAGGTAAAAAAGGAAAGACTCAAATTTTGCGTACATGCGACTGACATACAAACACAGCTGATTACATATTAAAAAAATTTTTTTTTGTTTATTAGAATTTTTTTTAATAATTTTAAATTTAAAAATATTTTAAATATAATTTTTTCAATTTTTTTTTTCTAATTTAATTATTTTAAAAAAAATTAATTATGTTGAAAAATTAATATAAAAATTTATTGTTGGTTTTGGAAAAAAGTGATAAAAACCTTTTATTAGAGAAACAAAGAAATTATAAATAAACTTTAAGTAATAAACTCATTTACTTCAATTAGTAGACGTTAAAGAATTCCATAATCGTCAGTACTTAATGTTTCTTGACTCATTAAAAAAATATCTTTCTTCAATTTAATTTAAATGAAGTTAAAAATTTTCATTTAAAATCATATTTTTAATTATTTTTAAATCTTTTTTTTTTATTATTTAAATTATTAATAAATTTTTATCAATTTATTGCAATTAAAATAAATTAGATAATTTTCATTACAATATTAATAAAAATTAGTTATAAAAAGAATTGAAAAATTATTAAATTTTTTTTTTTTCTTTATTAAGAAAAAATGGGACAATTTGAAGAGAGATCTTACTTTCATTGGGCGGATTGGTTGGTTTTTGCCACAATGTTATTAATTTCCGCAGCCGCGGGAATTTGGCATTTCAAAAAAGCACAAAAATCAAATACTGAAGTTTATTTATTGGGTGGAAAAGGCATGAGTCTTTATCCAGTATCAGCTTCTCTTGTTGCAAGGTAAAAAAAAAAATTTATTTCTAAAAAATATTTGAAAATTTAAATTAAAAAATTTAAATTTAATTTAAAATTTAAAAAAATTTTAATTTATTTAAATTTTTACATTTAAATTATTTAAATCAATAAGAAAAATAAACAATTTTTTTTTTAAATTCATTACAGTTTTATATCGGGTGTAACAATTTTGGGCACACCAGCGGAAATTTACAATTTTGGTACGCAATATTGGATAACAATAATTTCAATTTTATTCTCTGGAATTGGAGTTGCACTCGTTTATCTTCCAGTTTTTTTCACCCTAAAACTTAATTCCGCTTACGAGGTAACAAAAAAAAACAATTTTGCAAAAATAAAATTTAAATAATTTTTCCATTAAAAACTACTTCTCATTTTTAGAAAAATATAAATAAATAATTCATTTTTATTAATTAATTTTTGCAGTATCTTGAGCTGAGATTCAATTCTTCAGTGAGAATTTTAATATCTCTCATTTTTGTGATCGATGTGGTAAGAAAATATTTTTTTTTCATTTTCAATTTTAATTATACTTATTACTAAAAAAAAAAATAACATTGAATTAATCGGTGATTAATGATTAAATAAATATTTAATGAAAATTGGTAGAAAAAAAAATTTCCAGACACATTTAATTTGAGGACAAGTGAGAGCGAGGTCATCGTACTAAAGAGAGTTAAAGTACAAAATTAACATAATTGTGGGCATTATAAAGTCGAAGAAAAATAAAGGCACTTTGTATTTTCTCGACGCTAAATTTTATTTGAGAAAAAATTGTTTCTTTCAATTTATTATCAAATTTTTTTATTTTATTTTTTTTTTAATTTTAATTTTTCATTTATTGAAAAAAAAAATAATTTTATAACTTGAGAAAAACAAAAAAAGAAGCTTTTTCCAGAATGTTAAGTAATTTTTACTAATTTGTGTTAGGAATGTAAATTTATAAAATTTAAACATTAAAATTTCACGGTAAAATAAGTTTAAAACTGCTGGGAATCGATTTATAAGAAAAGCCAATGAAAATAAAGTATTTTGTATCGATATCTCTCGATCTTACAAAAAACTAAACTGGCGGGAAATTCAAATCAAAAAATGTTTCATAATTAAATTTTTCAAAATTTATAAAAAATAAAAAAATTTTTTAACATTTAAAGAACCAGTTTTTCAAAATGCTAAAAAAATAAAATTTTTAACAAATTAAAAACAATTTATTTTTAAATAATTAAAATAAAAAATTATTTTCAGGTTCTTTATCAATCGATTGTGATTTACGTTCCTGCATTGGCGTTAAATCAAGGTAAAATAAAAAATTATCGTCTGTTGATTAAAGTGTATCATCATTCTTTTATCTTGAAAAACGTTTTGATAATATATATGTCTCACTAATGTTAAATATTGATCTTTGTAGTGAGTGGAATAAATGTTCATTTAATCGGCACAATCGTCTGCCTGACATGCGTCTTTTACACAGTGTTGGTGAGTTTTATATCAATTTTTTTTTCTATTAACATCAATGAACGTTGCAATAAAATTTAATGAATCCCCACATACACAATTCAATTGTCAACAATTTACAATATTGATATATACTTTTATCTCAACCTGATTTCTCCAATTTATCACAACTATAATCGCAACTATAAAAAATAATTTTTAATTTTTCAATTTACTAAATAATTTTATTTTTTTTTTTAAAAAAAAAAGAAAATTAATATATAAAAATTGAAGAAAAATATTCTACAAAAAAAAAATTTCTGACTTATCGACCGATGGTAAAATAGAGTTCTTTATTACCATCAGTCGGTAAAAACTATCATTGTTAAGAAAGTAAATAATTGTACAAAGTTACAATATTTTTTTTTATAAAATTAGGTTTTATTTTAGAAAAATATTTATATAATGTAGATTTAAGAACAAAAAAGCTACAAAGAAACGTTCAAGAAATATTTGTCTTCGACAAGGTTTCGGTAAATCTTAGAATATCTGCAACAAATTTATCATTTAAATAACACAGTTTTTCAATATTTAAGGAAAGCAATTTAATAACCAAATACTCACTTTCAATTTTTATTTTCCAATAATAATTGATATTAAAAGATTTTTCAAAATTTGTGATTGTATCCTCGTTTGTATAATCAATAGAATTAAAATTTTCATTTACCTCACGAAATCTGTTTATTATCAGGAAAAGTATATATCCTAATTATATAAAAAAATTTAAAAAGATATTTGTCAACAGTTGATAAAGTAGCTTCTAAACTTACCGGCCGATGGTAAAGTAGATTTCTTCATTACCATCAGTCGGTATAATATAAAATAAATTTTATCTTTTTTTTTAAACTTTTTTTCTAAAAAGAAAACCTCTATATTATCGAGTATAATAATAAAAAGGATACAGTAACGGATAATAATTCTGAGACTCTTTTGCCCAAAGAAGCAATTTTTCTAATCTTGGAATCATTGGAGTGCCACTGATTAATTGTTTCATTCCTAAATCTTTAAGCGAGACATTATTCCTCGCTTCCTTGAGTCTTGTAAATTTATTTTTTAATTCCTATCATGTAAAACGGTGAAAAAGATTAAATAATTTTAATTTAACAAAAAAAAAAAATTAAGTAAACCGATGAAAAAGTTTTGAAAATTTTATTGACCTGATTGACATTATTTAGTCGATTCAAAGAATTTCCAAGATTCGCAATTTCATTTTGAATTGCACGAAAAACTTTTAAAACTAATTTTTCCTTTAAACCCTCTTGTTTATAAATTTCAGTCTGATCTGCTTCGACACTGCACAAAAAAATGTAAAATAAATATTTTTTATTTAAAAATTATTAAAATTATTATTATATTTTCAGTCTTGTATTAAAAATTTAATTTTTTGTCCCCCATTTTTTAACACAATAAACTTACGCCCCTGGTTACAGTGTCGTAATATGCAATAGAATTTATAAATTAATTTCTGTATAAAAATTTATGTTCTAATTATTGTTAATATTATAAAAAAATATTTAAATTTCAAAAATATTAAAAAGTTACAAAAAATTTTTTAAAAAAATGAATTTTATTAGAAAAAACAAAAAATTTTGATATAACCTCTAAAATACCTTGTCAAAAGTTGATACTGTTCACATAGACGTTTTAAGACATTTATTTGTTGTTTTACACTTAAAATTTCATTGTTCCATGTATCTGAGACAATTTTTAAATGTAAATAATATTTTAAAATAGATTTATACAGTAATTTTTCCATTTTTGAAACAGTGTTACCAATATCGACGTTTATCAACAACACGAGAAAACACGTGCTTGATGTACAGTAGTGTTCATTAAAATTTTTGACTCACTAACTCAGGGTCGTGTCAATAAAAATTTTTTAATAAAAATTAATTTAAAAAATTTTTCCAAATTATTAATTAATTATTATTATTAAATATATTTTTGTTTTTTAATTTTAATTATTATTATTTATTGTTAATAAAATAAAATTTCAAACTACTGACAGCAGAAATAAAAAACTTCTTATTTGCCAACCGTTGGTATAGTAGAATTACTCCTTACCATCAGTGGGTACGTCATTTTTTTTTTAAATTAAATTTATTTTAATAAAAAATTTTTTTTAATCTTCTCGAAGCCAATAAAATAAGATACAACATTGAAATTTTGTTGACTAATTTAAAATACTTTTTATTATTAATGGCGCGAAATTTAAAAATTAAAACTAATTTTTTCATTGATTTCAAGAATGTTTCAATTTTTTTTTTCGTTTTTTAATATTTATGTTTTATTGTATATATAAATTTGGAAATGATGAAAATTTCAGTTTACTTAATCACTTTTCAAACAAGAATCTCGCGACGATGATAAGAATTTCTGTCAAATCTAGTGAAATATATTTATAGACGGAAACCAAGAGCCTCAACAATGGAAGCCGGAAAACAATGGTAAACCATGTCGAGAGGCTGGTTGGGTCACAAAAGCCCGACTCGTGAAGTGATTAATGCGTCGTGCATGTAATTATCCGAGCAATTTGTTGAGCCTCGCATTAACGAGAATTTATCGCGAATGAATGACTCTTTGCAAATTGTTTACCAGATTTTGCAGGGGGGCTTTAATGCAAACAATGTCATGATATTTAGCAACTATCCTCTGTTATATATTATTTTTATTGCGAAAATTAAATTTATAACTCAATTTTCTCAAAATTTAATTTAAACAATATTTTTTTTTTAGAAATTTAGTGAATTTTTAACTTAAATGATTTTATTTTTTGAATTTCTAGTAAAAAAATTTCGTTTTTTGTGGTTTTTCATTTTTAAATTTTTCGTGCAAATTAGGTTTTTAAAATTTCACTTAAAATTTTTTTGTCAAATGAAGCTTTTTAAATTTCTCGCCAGAAGTTTGTAACAATCATTTGGCGGCAAATTTAAATTAATTTCAACGACTTTTCGTTTCTGAATAGATAAATAATTCCTTTCTTTCAATAAATAATTTTTTACTAAAAAAAAAGGGATTTACATTATTAGTTGATAAAAAAAAAATTATAATTTCAGGGTGGTTTAAGAGCAGTTATCTGGACAGATGCTCTTCAAGTGGCTGTGATGGTCACTGCTGTGATAACTGTGACAGTATTAGGAACAATTTATATTGGTGGGCCTTCAATTGTTTGGCAGAAAGCTCAAGATGCCAATAGAATTCAATTTCTTAAGTAATTTTTTAAAAATTAAAATAATAAATTAGATAATAGATAATAATGAATATTAAGATATAGAAAAATTTGTAACCAGTAAAAAAAAATGTATATTTCTTTCAAAAGAAATATTTTGATTTTCAAAACTTTCGCGCCACTATATGCGGCGAAATTATGGCGCACTCACACCTTTTTTGGCTGCCTGCGTGCCTGCCAGTTACCATGGCAACGCATGAGTGTGAGTGAGACAGAAAATTTGAATATTCAAATTTTTAAATTTTCTGTCGCACTCACTCTCATGCGTTGCCATGGTAACCTGCAGGCAGCCAAAAAGGTGTGAGAGCGCCTTTATGCATATACATTTGGCGGGAGATTTAAATTGAAATTAAAAAATTCTTTTCAATATAAAAGTTTAATTATAAAATTCATTACATTTTTTTTAGCTTTGACCCGTCTCCTTACACGAGACACACAGTATGGACTGTTTTATTTGGATCATGGCTATACAGTATGGGTTATATTTCTGTAAATCAAACAATGGTCCAAAGATACACTTCTTTGAAAGATATGAAAACTTCAAAACTGTAAGTGAGTATTCACAACTTTTTCAATGTCATATAATTATTTTTGTTATTATTATTATTATTATTATTATTATTATTATTATAACTTTTTAAAATTATAATTATTGTTTTTATTAATGTTTTAAGTGTTTTTTTACTTTATTTAAAAATTGTGTAAAAACTTTTATACTTGAAAATGAAAAAAAATTTATATTTAAAAAATTTTTTTCTCTTTTAATCGGAGATCTATAGCAATTTTTACGATTGGCGTAATGGCGTTCATTTCATTGTGCTGTTGGTGTGGACTTGTTCTACTCGCTTGGTGGTCACCACCAAAATGCGATCCAAGAGCAAGTGGACTAATTATTGCTGACGATCAACTTTTGCCCGCTTATGTTATGGAAATTGCTGGAAAATTTCATGGGGTACCTGGACTTTTTATTTCAGGTGTTTTTGGAGCCGCACTAAGGTATAATAGAAAAAGAAAAATTTTATTTTAGAAAATAATGTTTAAAAATTCATTCAACATTAAAAAATTTCTGAAATTTAATTTATTTTTTAAGTGTTTAATTTTTAATTTTTTTTTAAATTTGTTTACTGTGTTTTTAAATGTATATATTGTTTTTGTTTTAATGTATGAAATTAATTAATTTATAGCACATTATCGGTAGGACTTAATTCAACATCAGTGGTTCTATTAGAGGATTTTGTTAAGGGTTACTTTAAATTGAAACCCACAGATCGATGCGCAAGAATATTTGTTAAAAGTATCATCATTATTCTTGGACTACTTGCGCTTGCACTACTTTTTCTTATAGAAAAATTAGGAGGTGTTCTCTCGGTATTTATATAATAAATTATTATTTATTTTTTATAAAAAATTATTTTGAAAAAAAAAACAATATTGTGATTGAAATATTTTTAAAAATTAATTTTTTTTTAATCATAGGTGACAAGTAGTTTGGCTGCTATTGCTGCTGGAACTTCTTTTGGAGTTTTTACTCTTGGTATGCTTTTACCCTGGACTAATTCTAAGGTAAACAGAGCACACGAAAAAGAAAAAATTTGTTTGCGAAAATATAAAAAAAAAATATTAAAATAAATTAAAAAATTGTAATTTTTTTGTCCCTTCAAAAAAAAAAAAAAAAAAACAGGGCGCTCTTGCTGGCGTAATTGCAGGATTTTTGTTATCTGGTTGGGCAAGTCTTGGGGCAAATGCTGCCATTGGCTCTGGTATTGTGATACCAAAAAAATTGCCCGTCGATTATTCATATTGTCCCGGAAATGTCAGTGACGCTTTTTTGAATCAATTTAAACACATTAAGTAAGTTTTTGCTTTTGTAAATAATTATTTTTGTATTAATAATTTTGTAATTTATAAACTTTTTTTGTTAATTAATTTTTTTCAGTGAAGAGAGCGTGTTTCCTCTCTACCGACTTTCTTATCATTGGTTTGCTGGTTTGGGAACTATAACAGTTATTGTGGTGGGGGGAATTGTCTCTTGGTTAACAGGACCTTTAGATCCTTCTTCAGTCGATAGGTCTTTGCTTTCACCAGTAATTCACAAGTAAGATTTTTTTACGCTTTTTTTAGTTAAAAAAAAATATTTTAAATAAAAAAATTGTTTTTGAATAGATGGCTACCAAAACCAGCTTACTATGACAAAAGTGGCAATTGGAGGCGGCCGTCGAGTCAATTTTCCGATTTTATAAATCATAGACGACAAAATACAAATAGTGAAGTAACTAATTTTTAATTTTAATATATTATATGCAAAAAATGTATTTTTTCAATTTAGCGAAATTTAAATTCCGCGTTTTAAATATTACTGACAAATTACGATTCGATCTATTGAGTCGGCGCAGTACAATTTCTCTTTAATAGATTTTGAGGTTATGTTAAAACCTCCAAATTCAATTCTTCTGGAAATTTCTTTTTTATGACAATAATTTTTTTTGAAATTTTACAAAATCAATATTACAAAATTAAATTATTTTTAAAGTATAATAATTGGTTAAATAAATAAAAAGATTCTAAAAAAATTTTTTTTTTATAAAAATTTTTTAAGTAAACAATTTTTTTTTCTCACATAGTTAAAATTTTATAGCAAAACATTCTCTCTTTTTTTTTGTGCCTAAATTAAGTCACCCTGAGGTTTGTGATTTTAAATATGATTTTCCATCGTGTGGCAAATGTCGAGTTGACACCCGAGTTCTGTAACTGAGTTTGTTCGGTTTTCAAGCTCTGGTGATTTTCAGTCGTCCGTGATTCTCCAGAAGCCAAAGATCAAGTGCCCTCGGGATATTTCGTCTAACTCGTTAACGAATAAGAAATCATGTTAAATTTTCTATTAGAAATCAAAAAAACTTTTTTCCCCGGATAACATGAAAATCAAAATCTATTTTGCAAAAAAAAAAAGAAAAAAATTCAAACCAATTTTGTTTCTCTTCCAAACACAAAAAAAATCTTTTTTAAAATTATTTTTCTCTTGAATTTTTTAATATTTTTTTTGTCCAAAATTGAAAAAAAAAATTTAATTAATTTTCTAATTAAAAAATTATTATTTTATTCTATTTTCTTTCAATTTTTCGATTGGTTTTTGTTTTTTTTCTCACATAAAAATGGAAAAATTGTTTAAATTAACGTAATTAATAACAAAAAAAAATATGGAGTTAGTTTTTTTTAGAAAAAATAAAAAAAAAAATTGTTTTCGAAATTTTGTCACGGTCTTTCGTAATGCAAGAGAGACTAATTTGGAATTAATGTAGTGAACTATAGGTGGATGTGCATGGAAGAGACACGTCGTTGGTTGAATAGAGTTAGTTTGAGATAGTTAGCGGGCCTTCAGAAATACAATCGGCCACGATTGGCGGGCCTACAATCACATGTCCCATTATATGAAAATTAACGCCTTCGTCTTGTAAATGCACATTTTAATCAAGCGTTACTTCATTAAAAAAAAAAAAAAAAAAAATATCCCCATTTTATGCCACACCATGCCAAAAACATTTCCCTAAAAATAATAACATTTTTACTTCAATTTTGTAAAAAAAAAAGATTTTTCAATTCTAAAATTACAAAATAATTAAAAGAAAATTTTTACCAGTATTTTATTTATTTTAATTTCTAAAATTGTATTTTTATTTCTTTCTAGAAATTGACTTTTTAAGTTTATATTTTAAATTTCCCGCGCTCTAATTTTTTTTTTACAAAAAGGCGGGAAAATTTTAATTATTTAAAAATGTTTCTTTAAAAGAGAAAAAAAAATTGTTTACACAACATTTTAGAAAGACACATGTATATGTTGGATGAGTAAAGACTGACTAATTTCCAGGAGGTTTGAATTTGGATAAGAGATTAATTTATAAGGGCCCAAACGTTGTTGAGTCGAAACCTCAGATCAAATATCGTCGCGCTCAGTGAAAGAGAGAGAGAGAGAGACTGACGGAATAGCTAATTTATCAATTCTTCGGTTCGGTTGGCTTCGATTCCTATCACTGTTTGCAATGTCGTGCAAACAGACACGGAAATTCCTCAACGAATGTATCATATTTGAACGTAAACCAAGTCCTTTAAGCTCAAAATGAGGAAAAGCAACGTCTCTCTCTCTCTCTCTCTCTCATGATTCACCTGACAAAATTTATTATTTATTTTTCGATTTGCAAAAAAAGATTCAAACATTTAAAAAAAATTTAAGAATTATAATCAGTTTTTTTATTATTCAATACTATAATACCACAATTGTACTTAGGAGAAACAAAGTAAAAATATTTTTTTCTAATTATATACAAACGTAAGTTACATAGAATTTAAGTATTTGTATTTTAGATGAATTTTGTAAATAAATTTGTTTCCATAAATTTGAATTTCCCGCGCTTTTTTCAAGTTTGGTAAAATTTGATATTAACACTTGGCTAATTAAAAAATTGTCTATAAACAAATACGAGTAATAATGATAGTAAAAAATAATTACATTAGAAATGAGGGGGAAAAAAGGTTCATATTTCAAGGCTAGAAAATTTAGTTGAACCAACACACACACACATAGATAGATAGAGAGAGAGAGAGAGAGACAGATAGATAGATAGAGAGAGAGAGAGAGAGAGAGAGAGAGAGAGAGAGAGAGAGAGAGAGAGAGAGAGAGAGAGAGAGAGAGAGAGAGAGAGAGAGAGAGAGAGAGAGAGAGAGAGAGAGAGAGAGAGAGAGAGAGAGAGAGAGAGAGAGAGAGAGAGAGAGAGAGAGAGAGAGAGAGAGAGAGAGAGAGAGAGAGAGAGAGAGAGAGAGAGAGAGAGAGAGAGAGAGAGAGAGAGAGAGAGAGAGAGAGAGAGAGAGAGAGAGAGAGAGAGAGAGAGAGAGAGAGAGAGAGAGAGAGAGAGAGAGAGAGAGAGAGAGAGAGAGAGAGAGAGAGAGAGAGAGAACTGTCATCCAATGTTGAAATGGCGAAGGCAAGCAAGACATTAAGCGTAATGAATTACCAACCGTGGAGGAGCAATGTGTCTTAATTAAGGCCTGTGGCACAATAATTATGTAATTAGGCATTGTTTGCCGACGACCAGTTTCTAATCACAATCCTCGCTCGCGCTATTGCAAATTCTGTCTCTCTTGTTCTCAAAATTCTCATGTTGCTCGTATTCTGTTTTTTATTTTAAAAATTGCTTTAATTAGTCAAGAACAATGTTTATCCTAATTAAGATCACATTTATTTCATTAATTAGTCATTCTAAATTACAAGAAAAAAGGAAGAAAAAAAAATTAAACAATTTGGCTCAATGGATACTATGTTCGACCGTTCAATTTACCAACCCGGGTTCAAATCCTCCCAGAGGAGATTTTTTTGATTCCAGTTAGTGAGTTAATAAAAACCAATTTTTTAAATATTAAAAAAATGATTAAATTAGAAAAGGGAATGAATATATCAAAATGTAAATAGAAATAATGAACGTTTTGAAATTTTGCAAACATGTTTTCATTACCCAACGAGGCAAAATAAACAGAGGGGGATTGAATGTTTCTTCGAAATAGTATTTACTTGATTCGCACATTAATATTTATACTTGAAATCAAATTCTCTCTATAGGTCTTAGATGAAGGGAGAGGAGCAAACTATAGTCGCACCTAAAACGTAAGACAAACACAGTGGTGCCTCAATAAGCTTTCCGAAATTTCTCAACACCTGCCTAGAAACCCCTTATTTCACCCCTTATTCCCATCCTACTTCATCCCCTCCACTCTTAAAGTATGTTAGAACCCTCTACATAACAGAATTGCAGTTTCATATGAAAATTTACACTGCGCCTAAACCACAGATTCATGATCCGTGAATATTACAGGATTAAGAAAGATATAGAAATTATGAGGGGTGGAAGGAGGATGATTCTAAAACAAATCTTATGTGCAAAATCTTACAAGTACATATATATTAAGAAGAAAAAAAACGAAACAATTTTAACAAAAGAAAAAGAAAATTAATTTTTTCTGTTTTTTGTAATATAAATACAAATTACAGTGAAATAATGATAAATTCTATAATAATTTCATTTTTAACCCAAGTGTCTCTTGTATGAAAATAAAAGAAAAAAACGTTAAAAATGAAAAAAAAAAACTGTTTAACTAATCAGTTTGGATTCGAATCCTCCGAGAAACGAATTTTTTTTCTTTCTCAAAAACCTCCCATTTAGCTATATAGTTAAGTATTTATAAGTCCTAAATTTAAAAAAATAATTATAGTAATATAAAAGTAATAATAATCATGTATAAATTATTACATAATATATAAAATTATAATACTTTTTTGTTTTAGTTAAAAAAAATAAATATATACATGCAAATTTTTGTATGATTTTTCTTCCATTTGGCTCGCTTTTCAAGACTTTTTGGCATATATATAAAATGAAGTTAAGAAAATTCGTTGCGGAGCTTAAGGAGGTAATTGTTTCCAGACTTGAAGAGATAATAGGGGACGAATTATTCATAATTTTAGTGAGTTAGTTTAATAAACTTAAAGCGGATGCTCGTTTCAGGAAGGGAAGGGTTATAAATATACGCTAGCCAAGACACTTTTTGGAGGGGTGAATGGGTGTGAGTTTAATTTGCATTTGCAAAGATCTCTGGCATTCAAATTATATATATATATATACGGTATTACTTAATCGAAATTTGTTTTTTTTTTTTTAAATCATAATTATCAACTTTTACGAAATTTTATTTTCTTTTATAAAAAAATATATAGACATAAAAAATTCAAGTCGAAAGAAAATTTATTCCTCGCATATATCATAAATTCTAATGACATGGAATTTTCTTAAATACCACACGTTCAGAAAAATGCAAGAGCAAAAAAAAGTGCTGGATTATCAATAAAAAAAAAAAATAAAACTAAACAATAATAATGGAAATTGAAAAATACATGAAATAGGCTACCATTCTCTTTTCCTCCCTTTTTGAAATCGATCGTTTCCGTTAAATTATTTGCAACCCCCTTTTCGTCCCTCTCATTCCCCCCTTTTGATTTTGGTCCCCTCCCCCCTTCCCACCTCAACGGTCGGAGTAACAAACCGAGGCAATTAACAATCAATCACAGGTGTCTCTCGCGTCATTGAAATGACGTCAAACATTGTATTTGTGTAATTGTCCATTTATTCCCGTCTCTCGCCTGTCTCCTGACAAATTGAAACGCTCATCCCTCGGTATTCACAACCTCCTCCTGCCTAAACCATCCCCTCCCCCACCCTCGCTTTCCTCTATCCCTACCATCAAAACAAAACATATCGCCCCCCCTCCTCCATTTAAGCTGCTACTGCTACCATCCCTCTCGCCCCCCCCATCCACCCTTCATTATATTTTATATATCCTGGACAAGTCTGTTTACCACACTCGACGTATTTTCCAGTAAATCGCAAATGAATCAGCATTGGTTATATTAATTAGCGGCGTACCTCTCGGGAATTGTTATATATTGAAAATTGCAATTCTGTCTCCCTCTCTCTCGCCTGGTGAACTGACAATTATTAAGGCTCGTCGATTCTTTTTTTTTCCTCGAAATCGCTCAATTGATATGATAGTAACCGAGAAAGTGGGTTATAATAATTTCAGCAAATTATTCGTATTTCTACGCAATTATACGTAATTCTGCGTAAATGTACGTAATTATACGTATATGTACGTAATTATACTATATGTACTTAATTATACGTAAATGTACGTAATTTTGATTGAAAATACTATATATATATATATATATATATATATACATATATATGTATAACAAAAAAAAAAAATAAAGAGATAAAAAAAATAAGTTTTGTGCACTCGTCCATTAGTGTAATTGCAATTTATTTAGTAATTACTTTAATTAGAGTGCACTGGGTTTTAGAAGGTTGCCAAGGGAAGGCACGAGCAAGAGGAGAATTGAGAGAGAGAGAGGGCGAGCGAGAGAGAGAGAGAGAGAGGATTCTATGAGAGAGAGAGAAGAGACTTTAGAGTTGAAAAGTGTGAGGAAAATACAACTATACGCGCGAAAGAAGGAGGAACTAACTGAATTAATTAATGAATTAGCCCCCAAGGGATAAGGCGTAAAAACAAGTGGAAATCGGGCGAAGAGAGTAAGCGATTAAAGTAAGTGGAGTAAGAATGTAAGTAAAGTAAGTAAGTAAAGTAACCGGTGGTGGAGGATTATATGGACTATATATATATATATATATATATATATATATATATATATATGTATGGGGCAAGAAAGAGAAAGAGGAAGTTGGAGAAAGAGAGTAGAAATACTGGTTTTCACGCGATGGGGGAGAGTGCGAAGTTGAAAATTAAGGGGTCTTTCCTATTCAGAAACGTGATACCTTAACGATCTCTTGCTAATTAAACGGCCTTTCCTCTGATATGGAAGAGTCTCCCTTGGAAAAAAAAATCCTGTACGCAAAAAACCAAGTCCTTATATCAGCTTGAAAATTAAATTTAAAACCCCTATTAGTTTGGCCATTTACCTGCAATAAATTAGATAAAATAATACTTTAAAGAAGTTTTATTTTTGTTTACATAAATATGCGTAAGTATACGTAAAAAAGCGTAACTATACGTAAAAGTGCGTAACAATGCGTAAAAGTACGCAAGTATACGTAAAATTATATGTAAGAAATGAGTAAGCAAGTGTAAGAAGACTTAAATAATTTATATATATATATAAGTATATGTAATCATATGTAAATGTACGTATATATTTACGGGAAGCTACGTACAGTTACACAGCTGTACATATATTTAGATACGCAGTAAAACATACTTATGTACTTTTATGTAGGCTTACGTTTACTAATGTACACTTAAGTATATTAACGTTAACTACTAAGTTGCATTAGCGTAATGTTACTTAAATGTTACGTAAACATACATTACTTTACTCAATTCTACGTCAATTTACGTATATAATTTTTCGTAACCTTACGTAGTTTAGTAAAAAAAATTTCTCTAACTAAAATATTATTCATTTGAGTTTTTGTTCTGTTTTTGTTGTTCTTATTTTGTAACACTGCAAAAAGTATAAAATATACATCTTTCCTCTGCGCTTTTTCGACACCCCCTTCAAAATCTACTAAAATAAAATGACAGACATTTATTTTTGGAGAATTCGCGCGTACACAACTCTCTTGCGAGAATCGTGAAAATGAAAGAGCGCGCGGGCGTCGTTTGTCGGCCTAATAAAATAAAATTTCTGCACGTGAGAGCCATTATATTTGGCGAGAAAGGAAAATTATATAGAGAAATGAGAGAAAGAGAGAAAGTCTCATAGTTTCTATATATGACATGAAGAAATATATATATATATACACTTGCTATACAGAAATATTAAAACCTTTTTTCTAAA